TGGGGGCAGGCAACTGGGGGGGGACCCCGCTCTCTCCCTTTCTGTCTGGCTAACGAAAGGAAGGACAGACAACGGCATGAACCCGCTCCGTGCAGAGCCGGCGCAGGGTTGCGCTGCGCTCTCGGCGGTGGGAGCGGAGCCGCCGGCAGCCTCCGAGGGTTTGTTCAGAGTAGAGCCCAGCCCAGAGCCCACAGACAAAGAGCTCCTCGCTGCATGAGCCTGCCCTTTGTGCGGGCTTTCCTTGGGCCCGGGTGTGCACGCAGGGGAAGAACAATTTAAAAGTTTTTCTTTTTTAAATAACGCGTTTTTGCAGGGAAGTAGCGAATGTGCTCTTTATCAGCGCGCCGAATCTGCTACCGCATCCCACTGTGCTGAAGAGATGTTGGTATCGCTGGGAGGACAACAGCCTCCATCAGCTGAATATTCATGTGGGCAACAGGGACAAAAAGACTAAGAAAAGCTGAGGTGCCTTTTAAATGCCTTCTTTAGGAAAAATACATAGTTTTAAGTCAGTGACTGATGCCAAATGAGCTTGATCCAGGCTGCAAACACCACTGAATTCCTCAGAATGACTTGTAGAGTGCCCATTGTATAGTCTAGATGCCTTGGTCTTGCAGCCATCCTTCAAGCCTGCTAGCTACCTCTTAATCCTTTCCTATTCCGGCAAAAGATCATTTGCATTGCAAGAAAATTGTATTTACTTGATAGCCCTGTGAACCTTTTATATGTGTGCTTCTGCTTTTTATTGACCCCCTAGTCCTCAAGGTTTCCCTGAGTGTCTTGCCCAAAATTTACTGTCCTGCTGTGGTTTGGGTTGGAAGGGACCTTAAAGATCCTCTAGTTCCAACCCCCCTGTGTACTTCTTCACAACTTCAGAAAGTATCACACAAATGTAAAATACTATGTTACCTGCAAGTTTATTCCAGAACAAATTTAATAGGTGCAGTCTTCTGAGATGTCAAAGTGCTCTGTGAAGCAAATGTTAAAGGGTGTACAGTGTTCTACAATATGAGGCAATGCTCATACTTTGGAAATGTCCAAAATGGATTTCGCTGCTGAGTTTATAGCTGTGGCTGTCCCATATTTGGTGAAATGGGGGAGTCACAGAAATGTTTTGATTTTATGAAATCAGATTACATAATACTGCTAATGGAGAAAAATATATAAATGCATTCTCAACAATATGTGCATGTGGTTCAGAGTCCTTTGCTTAACAAGCTTGCCAATCTTAAGTAATTAGTAACTATGCTTATCTTTCCTTTCCTTGTATTCAAATATGTACACCTGGGACACAACCACGTCTAGTGATACTTGCCCAAAATGCATCTGGTTCTGAATAAGCCTGCATTTAGTGTGAAAGTTAAAGCTGCCACCACCAAAGTTCTGGGCTACTAAGTGGGGTTGCTGGCTCTGGAGGGAGTATCTTAAGCACATATTACTGCCTGTGCCATCTGCCACAATGAACAAGGAGAAAGCTTACCTAGAAACACAGTCTGCTACCCCACATCCACATGGTGCATTTGGGATAAATCTCAAAAGACAAACTGCAATTTTTGTATGCCCATTTTTCTTCCCTTTGTTGTTCGTAATACTGGCATTTCTACACCTTCACTAAATAGTTATGGCTGAAGAGACAGCAGGTATTTTTATCTTTGCAAAAAGAATAATGTAGAACTAGCAGGGGTTTTTTTTCTCTCACAGTAATCTGAGTATGACTACAAATACGACCATTTGTTTAACCATTTTGCTTTGGGAGGAAGTGCTGAGACAACGAGCACAATAAAGTTCATTATGCTTCAGGATACAGGGCTGCAGAAAAAATACCCTTAGACTTCCTTCTGTTTTGAAAACATAGTCCACACACTACTAGAATAGGAGAGAAGGTTTACAAGATAGCATTCCTG